TTACCAATTTTAAGCGATTTTACCAATTTTTCTAATGTTTTTACCAGCTTTTGTGACTAAGTGACTTTAGGTAGAAACTAAAACGTTTTGGTGGCCTGGATACGTAAAAACGTAAGTTTTTACGTTTTAATGCGCGATTTTGACTGCACTGGCCACAGTGGCTACTAGAATTCTAGTTGCCACCATAACCCATTCCCAGCACAACATAAGGAAGGGGGAAAACAGGTCCATGGTTGACAGCAAGTGATGTCAATCCGGTTTAGCGCATTTGTTAATTTGCTCGATTGAGTAAGTGGATTGAGAGTTAATGGTCTAAGCGTTTTAGTCTGGATATATAAAAACGTTATTATATTGCTCATACATGTATAGATTATATCAGATATTATTTTAACATATAAAATTACACCAAAATAACATGTTATATAAGTGTGGATAATTTTCACTATATGTTTCACTATATGTTCTCAAAAAACATATAGAGAAAATTCAATACACTTATACACACTTATATAACATCAATATTCAAATGTTCAACTTAAAATTCCAAAGATAGGGTTAGGCGAAGAGGAAAACTGAAAAATAACGGCGTTGCGCAAACCAAATGAAAAAACGACACCTTGTATCCTCCAACCCGACAACCTTACAGCAGATCAACTCGATGAGTATGTACGACCAGTTTTTTGCAGCGGGTCAAGGTTAAAATGAGTCAACCAACGGGTCGACCAGTGGATTGACAACCTTGGTTACAGTAACGAAGCCACTTTGAATTCAGGAGGCTTATAGTCCTTTTTACATTTTGAAATATAGATAAATTTTTATGTATAATTTATAATCAAGTTCAAAAATAAACTAATTGACAAGATTTTAGGCTTCTAGCTTTCTTCCCCAAACGATGATATTTTAGATCTCTCAAATGTAGATTTTTTAACCCCCTATATCCATTTCTTTGCTTGGAATTTCTACTGCCCTCTCCTAGTGCACGTATGAACATCCAAATTTCCCACTAAAGAAGGAAAATAAAGGAAAAAATTCCAATATACACCAGTAATTAAAAAAAATTTCCATAATACATAAGTTATAAAAAATTCACAAATCTACACATGTTTTACATTTACCGCTTTTGTCTAAGGCAGTGAATACAATCACTGTGTTAGACAAACACGGTGAATTAGTCACCGCGTTTAATGAAGACGATGAAGCAATCACCGTGTTTATCTAAAGCGGTGAAAGGTTCACCGCGTTTTACTTAAACGATGAAGCAATAACCGTCTTTGTTAACAACGGTGAACTGATCACCATTTTCGTGCAAAGCGGGGAACACCTTCACCGCTGTAGGTTACGGCGGTGATATTTGCCCACGTTTCCCATCCATGGTAGGTGAGAGTTAGGTCATAACGACCTAACTTTCACCGCCTTAGGGAAAGACGGTGACTGCCTTCACCGCTGTTGACAAACACGGTGAATGCTGGCCGATTTTCGTATAAATACTCCCCCACAAGTAGTTGGAAAAACGTACCCCCCTCCCTCTTCAAATTTCAGCAAAAAATCGAGCAAAATACAAATAAACTATTTTTCGGTATGATTTAATTCTGTATTGTTATATAATGATGTTTTTAGTAGTTATATGTATGTAATGAATTACTTATCGTAGCAAATATGTTATGTTAGTTGGGAATTTATGTTGTTATTAGTTATGAGATGGAGTAATATTAATCGTACAATATGGTTTTGGTTAATTTTATTGGAATTAAGCTAATAGTTACTTATTGTAAACTGTAGATATGGGTAAATTCAAGAAGTTTCAGCTTATTATTCGGTGGAATGGAAGGGGGACAAACTCTAACATTGGGATTGATTATGAGGGCGGTGAATCCACTATGTTGAAAATTGAGTCGCGATTCACGTGGCAAGAACTCTGTGACATTTGTGCAGACAAAGTTTGTACGAGCGGACAGACGAGAGTTGGTAAAATTACTTACCGGTATCCAAACATGAGTGCTGGCGGGGTTGTGTACCAAGAAGTTGTCATAAACGATGATGACGCGATTACGATGATGTTACAGTTCCTAGGCGATAACGGGATGCGGCCTGCAGAGGTCTATGTTGAGACCGAGGTGGTTGGTGAAACTCATTCTCACCGGTATTCTTATGATGATGGTTTTGCAGGAGGGTACGGATGGAGTAGTACTTCAAGCAACTCTGAAGGAGGTGGTTATACAAGAGGTTACGGATTGGGTGGTAGTTCAACCAACCATGGAGGAGGTAGTGGTGCAGGATGGGTGTCATCGGAAAAATACCCACAACGTGATGAACCAGTCCCATTTGTTCAGGCCGGTGAAGTTCAATGGCCTGCCTAGGGGCTAGAGTGGGCTGAAATCGAGAATACCATTCGATCTGGGCGTACTTCACATGAGCGAGAAGACGATGTTGGTGATGGTGGTCATGTTGGTCCTTCTGGCCCGAGCTATCCATTCGACTCGAGCGACGATGATACTGAGGAAGATTTGAGATCAGTGAGCGAAGAGGAAGATACTGACGATACCGATGACGAGGTGGCATTTCGTGAGCCAAGGAGCATTGGCAACCATATGCCTTGAATCCACCGGTTTGACTAGTCGGGGAACAGAAATCCACCGATCAAACCAATGAGGTAGATGCGTGCATAGCGCTCCACTTGATCTTCCGGAGTCTCTGGGCCAATTTCAACCTCATTTTGGATGTGAGTAACAAGCCACAGGATCGACACTTGTCATGCATTCAATGGTGGATGCCGTCGTCCTTGAATTGGTCTGGTGGTCGGCATGTTAAATCCCAAACGATCACGAATGAGCGGACCCCAACCTGCATCGGGTATGGTAGTGGTACCAATGATGGCATCTTCTGTTATCGACAGCCCGGTGAGGATCGTGACGTCTTTGAGGGTGATCGTAATTTCCCCCTCCGGAAGGTGGAACGTATGGGTTTCGGGGCGCCATCGCTCTGCCATTGCCGTAAGCAGATTGTTGTCGATTCCAATCCGCATGAAATGCCTCAACATACCCAACCCAGTCCTCTCTATATACGGCGACAATTGATCATGCCAAACGGGCAAGTTAGTCGTCCCTTTATGAATGACGGGAATAAGTGATTCCTACAAAAAAAAATTGAAAAAACATCGATTTGTTAGTTAAAAAAGCAAAATAAAACCTTATAAAATTATGAAATAAAGTAAATTGTTGATAAGGTACGTATTGTTTACCGAATTGTTGTCCCAAATTGCACGGGAGCGATGTGCTTCTTGATCGGTTAAATACTTCGTATCTCTTGGCCCATAATGGATATACAATCGATGATCATATATCTCGGTATCCATCTATAAACAAAAGTAATGAAATCAGAATTGTTTTGATTAAAAAAATCACAAAATTCCGAAGAGCCTCTTCGTCCATTTTTTGGTGAAAGCCGGACAGAGGTTCGACGGGTTTTTAAGGGACGAGGGCTTTAGGGTATAACTGTAGTAATTCTTTATGATGTGGAAGATTGGACTTAGCCGCAACCACAGAGCATACTTAGAACGAGACTAGAGTGGATGAATGGAGGGAGAAAGAAGTGCAATGTGGTGGTGTGATTTGGAAGAGGGGGGAAGGGTTCAATTTATAGGGGGAGGGGTCTGCCGAAAATCAATGCAGAGCCATCACCGCTTTCGACAAACACGGTGAATAAACCGCCTTTCTCGAACACAGTGAATGGCGAGGATCGATGACGTGGGCGCCTGTGAGGCGTCGTATATGGAAAGAAAACCAAAATCTGCGCCTCACTGCATCCGACGACAGCGGTGAAGACCCCGCGCGACGCGGATCACTAACGTGGACAGACGCGGGTTATTCACCGTTTTTTACTAACGCGGTGAATTCCCCGCGTGTGTCCGCGTCAGCGATCCGCGTCGGATTCACCGTGGCCGTCAGATGCCGGGAATTAATCACCGCTTTAATCTAAAATGGTGAATGCTTCACCGTTTTGCTTTAAAGCGGTGATTGATTCCCTGTACTTTCACCGTCTTATTCAACCGCGGTGAAGCGTTCATCGTTTTTGTTCACTGCCTTTGACAAAGGTGGTGATTGTGAAACATGTGTAGATTGAGAATTTTTTTTATAACTCATGTATTTTTGAAAAAAATTTATAACTTATATATTTTGGAATTTTTTTTAATTACTAGTGTAATTTGGGAATTTTTCCAAATAATATGGTCACGTGCATCTATGTTTCCAGCAGCTTTTAACTTGCCTCTTTCTGTGATTCTCGTTCTCGTCTAGAATTCCCCTCTCCATCTTACTTTACAAAAATAGAATACATAATTTATTGTCTCCTAATCCCACACGTTTAAATTTCCATTGAGTAATATTTATGATCATGACAACTACGCCAACACATTCTTTTAACTAGAGTTATCCCCGCTTGATGGCGGCATGTTTAATTAGTTTTTTTCCCCTCTTTCTTTCTTTTCTAATTTGTTAGTTTTTCAATGGTATAGAGTTACTATTTCGGAATGAGTTAGCGTGGTTACTTAATTTTTAGTAGTCACGGTGGTTACCTTAATCTATATCATTCATTATTTCTTTTTCACCCTAATTTTAAATTAACGATCAAGATTATATTAGGGTAATTTTGGAATTGAAAAATATACCACACCTGATTACTCTATAAATTATATCCAAACCCTACCCTACTGCAAACCGTCGCCAACCACCAAGCTCCCTCCCTTGTTACCTTCCAACGTCCCTCCTCCCTCCCGAGAACCCCCTCCACCGCCGGCCGGCCTCCCCTCCACCGCCCTCCTCCCTTCCCCTCTTGTCTCGCATAATCTCTCATCCCTAGCACCCCCCCTCTCTCCCAGAAGTTGCAGCACCATCAATGGATGCTCGCGTCCCAGATTGGGATCGCCCCGACGACGACGATTCCCCCACCACTTCCAAATCTTCCTCCGACGTTGCTGACGGCGGCGCTGAACAAGGAAATTTAATATGGGACGCTCGCCAATTCAATGGACGATTCCCGCGCCAATTCGGTTGACGATTTCCCCGCCAATTCAATGGACGCTCGCGTCCCAGATTGGGACCGCCGCGATGACGACGATTCCCCTGCCACTTCGGAATCTTCCTCCGACGTTGCTGACGGCAGCGCTGGACGAGGCAATTCAATTTGCTGCATCCCAGAATCTTCTTTGGTAGTTTGTGCATTACGCTTTGGTAGTTATCTGCATTTGTGTTAGTTAGATGGAGCATTATGTTTTGGTAGTTATCTGCATTTGGTTTGGTAGTGTTTGCATTATGCTTTGGTAGTTTCTCTGTATTTGTTTTGGTAGTGTTTGTATTAATTTATTTATGCAATGGTATTGTTTTGATTTCACAGTAGTAGTGGTATTGGTTGTTTTGGTATTTCTTTGACTTTTGTAATGATATATATTGTTTATATTGGTAGTTTTCGTGTAATGGTATAGATATATTTCTGCAATGATATTGATGTTTTTCAAAATGGTAGTGGTTGTCTAATAGATTGGTAGTGATTTTGTGCTTTTCCTTTTGCAGAAAAATTGAGAAAAATATGGAAAGGAGATCTGGCTGGAGATTACGGAAGTAAGAGAAAGAGAAAGAATTGTATTTAATAGATTTTTGTAACTACCTAAATGTAAATTATTAAAATTAATTAATTACTATAATTTATTTTTCCATACCCAATTTACCCTTAGTAACCACGATGATTACTATTGTTGTAGTAACCACGGTGATTACTACTATTGTAGTAATCACCGTAACCACTCCCTTACTATTTCTCAGTATATTTATTTGTTTACCACTAAAATTTACCTAATACCACATCGGTTAAAAATAAGGAATTAAATGGCTTTATAAAGCCAACTTAATCATATCAGTTTAAATCAGTTTAGTGGGCCATGAGAATTAGTTTTTGGGCCCATTACTCTGTGCCACCACGTGCGCCATGCATCTCCAAATTTGGCTAAGTATGGAAGCCAACCCCATGACACGCAGAGGGGGGTGGGCGCTATACCACCACCCCCAGGACGTGGCAAGGGGGTGGGCATCATACCGCCACCCCCAATGACATGGTGAGGGGGGTGATGGCCAAATTTGGCTAAGGCAAGGAGTATGGGAGCCAACCTCAGGACGTGGTAAGGGGGTGGGCATCATACCAGCACCCCCATGAGGTACCAAGGGGGATACCGCCACCCCCAATGACATGGTGAGGGGGGTGATGGCCAACTTTGGCTAAGGCAAGGAGTATGGGAGCCAACCTCAGGACTTGGTAAGAGGGTGGGCATCATACCAGCACCCCCAGGAGGTACAAGGGGGGGGGGGGGGGGGGGGGGGGGCACCATCATACCACACCGCCACCCCCAATGACTTGGTGAGGGGGGTGATGGCTGAATTTGGTTAAGGCAAGGAGTATGGGAGCCAAGCCCAGGACGTGGTAAGGGGGTGGGCATCATACCACCACCCCCAGGAGGTACCAAGGGGGTGGCCACCATCATACCACCCCCAGGACGTGACAAGGGGGTGGGCATCATACCGCCACCCCCATGACATGGTGAGGGGGGTGATAGCCGAATTTGGCTAAGGAAAAGAGTATGGGAGCCAACCCCATGACGTGGGGTAACCAACGCCGGCCCCCATGAGGATGATATAATGGTGGGGGTGATCCATATGACCCCTATAGGGGATGCCCCAAGGGTACGGTGAGGGGGTCACCAACGTACACCCCCTTGGTATGGCCAATGCAAGGGGGTCATGTGAGCATGTGGTCTCTTTACTCTACTAATGGTGAAGTACTTTTTGCCATTTTTAATTCATGTTATTCAAATACCCACCCATATGTGGTAAGTGGTATTCCCTTATGCCTTAGCCATTTTTACTCTATGGATAAGCAAAACTACGGTGGAGATGCCAAGAGCAGAGGTTAAGGTCTCAAGAGGAGGGGGTCAAGACTGAAGAGGATCCCAATTCCAACATCAAGGTAACCGTCATAGCAGTTAAGAGGGTAACCGTCACTCCACGTCGGCAGAGCAGTTTCTTGGGGTAGTTACTTCTGATGGCTATAAATAGGAGGTGAAGATGACAGAGAAGGGATCGGCAAAATCACACCAGACAACCTATTGTCAAATTTTATCCTTTTATCTTTACCTTTTCCTCTGCAAATGTAGCCATAGTTGTAGTTTCGGAGCTCTCACTGAACCTCCATAGGAGTAGAATTAATGTAATTTAGTTTTCCATGAGTTCATCAAGAACATTGAACACCCTTGTTTGAACTTTGTTTAAAGAGGTGTGAACCGTGTTGTTCAATCGTTTGTTTGGAAGTCAAAGGTGCAAATTCAATTATGTTCATCTAGATTTCTCGCCGGGAAAACAAATTGGCACATCTGGTGGGACACCTGTGTTCGATTTGATGGCTTCGAGGCGGAGGAATCAAGAAGGTGACACTCCAACTGGTTTTGTGGAGAAGCAGGTGGCCAACATTGAACTTGGCCAAGTTGCAGAGGCGGTGGGCGGAAACAATGGTGGGGCAGAGATCCTACCAACGGCGACGCCAAGCAGAGATATTGGTGAAGCAGTAGAGGTCTTTCGTCAAATGATGGTGGCCTAATGATTCCAAATCTTATAATTTTGCTAAGGTGCGAACCACACCCTTCATGACAAGACATGGGAGTGATGTTGGTGGCATGTGGTATGATTAGGGGTAGATAGGTTTAACCATGGGACATAATAATGCTTTGGCCCCACTAGTTTCAAAAGATACATGCCATGTGATTTAATAAAGATCATGAGTGTTGGTGATCACAGCGGCATGGGGGGCACAGTTGTGTCGAGAGGGAAGAAAGACTATGGAGGGGGCAAGATGATACAGATAAGAGATTGAAAATCTTTTCTGTTAAGAAAAGAATTTGATAAATCTAGTCTCATAAGAAATTGGAGATTTCGAGTCCTAGCCAAGCATGGCAATGAGAAAAGAGAGGCGAATATTTGTTGTTAGTTGGCTTTTGAGTTTGACTAAGCCAAGTTTGTATGACGAGTTTGAAAATGGTTTAACGTGGTGGAGATAAAAGCTAATAATTAGCTTTGAAGTGGTATAATTGGTGCTAACTACTTAGTCCATAATTCTTATGCACTAAGTAGTTGGGGGGCATTTGTTTACCACTAAAATTTACCTTATACCACATCGGTTAAAAATAAGGAATTAAATGGCTTTATAAGGCCAACTTAATCATATTAGTTTAAATCAGTTGAGTGGGCCATGAGGATTGGGTTTTTGGGCCCATTACTCCGTGCCACCACGCGCGCCATGCATCTCCAAATTTTGCTAAATATGGGAGCCACCCCCATGACACGCACAGGGGGGTGGGCGCTATACCACCACTCCCAGGACGTGGCAAGGGGGTGGGCATCATACCGCCACCCCCAATGACATGGTGAGGGGGGTGATGGTCGAATTTGGCTAAGGCAAGGAGTATGGGAGCCAACCCCAAGACGTGGTAAGGGGGTGGGCATCATACCACCACCCCCAGGAGGTACCAAGGGGGGTGACCACCATCATACCACACCGCCACCCCCAATGACATGGTGATGGGGGTGATAGCCAAATTTGGCTAATGCAAGAAGTATGGGAGCCAACTCCAGGACGTGGGGTCACCAACGCCGATCCCCATGAGGATGATATAGTGGTGGGGGTGATCCATATGACCCCCATGGAGGATGCCCCAATGGTATGGTGAGGGGGTCACCAACGTACACCCCCATGGTATGGCCAAGGCAAGGGGGTCATGTGAGCACGTGGTCTCTTTACTCTATCAATGGTGATGAAGTACTTTTTGCCATTTTTAATTCATGTTATTCAAATACCCACCCATATGTGGTAAGTGGTATTCCTTTATGCCTTAGCCATTTTTACTCTATGGATAAGCAAAACTAAGGGGGAGATGCTAAGAGCAGAGGTTGAGGTCTCAAGAGGAGGAGGTCAAGACTGAAGATGATCCCAATTCCAACATCAGGGTAACCGTCATAGCAGTTGAGAGGGTAACTGTCACTCCACGTCAGCAAAGCAGTTTCTTGGGGCAGTTACTTCTGATGGCTATAAATAGGAGGTGAAGATGGCAAAGAAGGGGTCGCCAAAATCACACCAGACAACCTATTGTCAAATTTTATCCTTTTATCTTTACCTTTTCCTCTGCAAATGTAGCCATAGTTGTAGTTTCGGAGCTCTCACCGAACCTCCATAGGAGTAGAATTAATGTAATTTAGTTTGCCTCGTAGTTCATCAAGAACATTGAAAACCCTTGTTTGAACTTTGTTCAAAGAGGTGTGAACCGTGTTGTTCAATCGTTTGTTTGGAAGTCAAATGTGCAAATTCAATTCTGTTTATCTAGATTTTCTGGTCGGGAAAACATTATTTAAGACTTGGGTTACTAGACAAAACTCAATCTAATAACTGAGATTGGTAGGGTTGCGGATTTGATGATCATTTCACCATGGATGATTAGGAGTGTTTTGTGACACGGAAAAAAATTGGCCGGCCTTATTTCTGTGCAAGTGGATTTCATAAAACTCTACTTCAAATCTTTAAAATTTACCGGACCATGACACATTAATTTTACATTGGAATTCAAAAAATTTGCACGAAAAAATTAGATTTTTTGTGTTTTACAAGATGATATCCATTTTGATACTTTCTGGAGATTTTTTTTTCTTCCGTATATATGATGTTGATATGATAGTACTATAATATTGATATGATGTTGATATGAGTTCTTATGTTTGATAAAATAATTTGATGATATCGTATCGATGTCATATCATGATATAAATTCTCACTATATGATGGTGATAATATCGATAGTGGCGGATCCATGGAGGTCCTCTAAAATATGGAAAAATGGTTATCCAACCTCCGATGGTAATTTGTATATGGCTAAAAAAATATTTCAGTGGTAGAGGGACACCCTTATATTTTGGGGAAAGATTATCCAACCTCCTATAGTAGTTTGCATATGCATACAAATAATATTTAAGTGTTAGTGTATGTGATTTGAACTTGGGACACTATTTCTATTAGTTAACATATTTTCAATGAAATTATAACTCATTTGTTGTTGTGTTTTAGATCCAAATATAATAGTAAAAGGCTTTTCCTATCCCCAATCATATTCAAAACCTAACGATTA